GCCATGTATTGATTATTAAAATAAACCAATTAGGGGTAAAACATTAATGTCTCTTAAATCTGGTATAAAAAATCAAAGCTCAATTTCTATAACTATTGATAAAATAATTAAGGACAATTCACTGGAGCAATTCGAATCCATTCAAACCCACCAAAAATAGTCAATGAGTTTTACATTATCGCTATTACATCACGTAACGTAAATAGATTTATCTAATTGGACGTCATCTACTGTAAATGGAATTAGCACATTATTATTATGACGCCACACGCTTGTACTATATTCTGTACCTTTGTCTACCCTTGGCGTTGAAATATCCCTTTCTGTACATATTGCTATAAATAAAGGAAGGTCATCTTTAGCTATACACAAGCTTTAAGACATAGCCTAACCCTACTGCTAGAAACTTGATAAAAACTTGATATTTTAAAATACGATTTTACCATAACGCGTCATTCAAACTTTTTTTTCTCTTTAAAAGACGATTTTTTTCATATCCTCGCCGTTGCCAGTTCACCTTATGTGGCGTCACCATCCTGATATTTTGTATAAATGCGCTAAGAGGAAGTCATTTAAATCTATTTCAAGACACCAGCATATCACGCGGCCACACCATCCGACACGACACCGACACGACACCGACAAAACCAGGTACACGGTTACGTATAATTGTTTGACATACAGAACAGGACACGAAGCATGGGCTGTCTTGAACCATAAACCATAGGTTAGGTGTGCCGGGACGAACAGTGAGATCGATATTGATATTTGTGATGTATTGATTGGACTGACGGCCTCCTGTAATGATGGAGCTGGGTCTATTCGTTATGTATGGAGCGTTAATGTAGTAAATATTAGTTAACGATTGCTTTTTTAAGCACATCAGCACGTTTATAACATATCATATCGATATGTTTTTTTGGCATCTGAATGTTGATGTGTGGGTAACGGGGTAACATTTGGGTCAGGGTTAAGCTCAAGATACGGCTCAGCTGGTGTGAGAGTTATAATGGGAATAAGCTTAACTTTACAGCTGATGTTGAACAAAATAGTAAACTATAAATAGTCTTGATTTTTTACTTCTCCTTTTAGGTTGTGGTCAGTCTAATGGGTTCGAATTCAAGTCCAATTCAGTAGGACGTCCCTGAGTCAATCCAGCTATGATAAGTACCTCATGTTAGGGAAAGTAAAGACGGCTGGTCGAAGTGCTGAGAACAGCTTCCCTTCATATGTCGAGGTCAAGAACGATATGAACTCTACTTCATCTGCCCAATGGATAGCTAGGTCTATTTGGTCTTTTTCGTTTGTGAATTCCAGCCATTTCAAAGCAAATATAAATTTTACCTACTTCATATATACCTTCAATGTAAACTAGCTCTTCTGGTTAAAAGTCACGTTCTATTTTAAACTTTTTTTTTTATAGAAGATAGACTTGTTCCTTGATATAGATGTTTGAGTTTTTAACGCAAAAGAATCCATAAATTACATCTCATACTAACAAGGCTTATTTAAATAAAACAATATCATAACTGGAAGCTAAAACTTGTCATTTTGTGAAGAGTTCAACATTTATTTGATGTTCCACATACCTTCCCTTGGATCTGGATTACCCACCCACACACCCGTCCCAACCCTTATCGCCATCGCCATCCCCATCATCACACAACATCCTCATCTCACAAGACATCAGCACCCAAAGTTCTGCCTCTCAGATCCACCTGTAGACATCTAATCTCATAATGTCACCCCCTCCCCATGCATTAAGCTGGGGTAACCTCATTGGCACAAATCGAAGAATAAACAGCTGAAATCACGATCACACGGAGAAACAAAAGAAATAACCCAATAACAATCCACGAATATGAATATTTCATGGTGTAAACTTTACCTCATTCCCACGTTTCTGTATTTGTTAATTATTAATTAGTCACGAAACAAAGATGACGCTGATGTATAAACTAAAAATATTACATGGAGCTTATATTTCTCTCTATTGTGTGGATTAGGAAGAAAATAGGAATTTTACAATACTTAGTGTTGCGTTGATTAGAAGAAAAAAAACCAGCCGATGAATAATATGTGGGATTGGAGTCACGTGATTGTGAGACGGGAGTCACGTGATATGGAAGAGCTCTATCCCCAGGGGCGTTACACAGTCACGATCTGCTTAATGGAGATTTGATAAAGTGGACATACGGACATACGGACATACGGACATATAGATGTGATCAAAATATGGCGTGTAAGAGATTGGGCATAGAAGAGAATGGGCATAGGAGAGAAAGGGCATAGTAGAGAATGGGCATAGACGAGAATGTGCATAGGAGAGAAAGGGCATAGTAGAGAAAGGGCTTAGTAGAGAATGGGCATAGAAGAGGATGGGCATAGTAGAGAACGGGCATATAAGAAAATTGACATATAGGAATATAAGAGATTAAAAAAATTGAAATGTAAGATATGCATCAAGACCTAAGCACACAAAAATTGCCAGGAAAGAAACTAGTTAAATAACCTTTTACTGCAAATATACGACAGTTTGAGGCATTGTCAACAATATTCACCAGTCCACTGCACTACTTCTAGCATCCAAGGAGCCACACAATATCTAAATTTGATCGAACGCCAGCTTTATTACTATACTACTTCTAGCAAGAAAGGAGACACACAATATCTAAATTTGATCGGACGCCAGCTTTATGAGTACACACCAACAATTTACCCATGAAAGCCACCACGTAAAGGTAAACACAGGTAAGTGCTAATACAAATTGGAATTGTCAATTCCGTGATATTCTAGAGGGATCAAAGGTGAGGGTAAACATCATAACATTTGAGACTCCCTGGCAGAAAGCCAGGTATGAACAATTTAGTTTGGCGCAAGTTCTATAGACAGCAATGTGAAGATCTATACTAAAATTTGTTGTGCTTTTTTTTTTTCAAACTTCGCTGAGATATTTTTAGGTTCGGAGAGGTCGATGAAAAAAAACGTGAGTAATTTAAGTGGGACGGGGGTAGGGGTGGAGGGGTGGGGGAGTCTACGTATGCAATTACCGAGTAATGAGGTTTGACTGGGGAAAAAAGAATTAACCTTTGGCGTGATTGTTTTTTTTAAAGAGGGGTTTTAAAAGTTTGGAGTCGTGTTGTGGTTGATAGAAATTGTGTTTTAGAAAGTGGTGGTGTGGTGGTGGAGTTGATAGAGTTTGGGTTCTAGAAAATTTAGGGGCGTGGTGATGTAGTTGTTGACTTCCGGTTGTAGAATGTTTGGAGAAGTGGTGAAGGAGTTGATAGTTTCGGGTTTTAGAACGTTCTGGGGCGTGGTGGTGTGGCCTGCTGCCAGATATAGTAAATGTTCGTAAAAGGAACCGACATTGGGAACCAGTTTTTTATACCTCTTATCGAATACAAATAGTAGCTACATTTTAATAAATAAAGCCTGTATAACAATTGGGGGGGGGGGGGGTTATATCAGTGTCCGATAACAGAATCTGCTTTAAAAAAGGGGCGTTAGGTTACTTGTAGTTAACTAAATACTCACATTGCTGGCTAATGTCAATGTTAACCCTGTCCCTAATCATAACCCCAACCCTAGTCCTACCTGACCCTAATTTCTAACCATCAAATTAGTCTAGATCACAATACTTTTTGAATACTACTAACAACCCAACACACCTAATTTATGAAAGAGTCTATTATCGGACATCGGTATCTAAAATCATCCACAATTTGTTAGGCAACCATTATCACACCAATACACCACACACCACACTTAATAACACACATCTTCAGCTTCATTTAGCTAATCCTAAACATTACCGAAATGACGAAAACAGACGTAAACAACCGATTAGCCTACCGTCTTTTGGTTTTTTAAAAAACCTAACCAATTAACAGAGAAAAAGCTGCCGTAAAGAAAACAAACATCAGACCCCATACGACGCCGCGGACGTACAGGGGTTTAGCTCATTAGGTTGGAGTTTTATATATCTTTAGCTCTCGAACTTAATTAACAATTTTTGGCAGCGTAGAAATATTTCAGTTTGGTTAAATCAGACAAGTCTATAGACCCAGAGATTTATCGTTTCTTTCATGATAGCTTTGACGTTTAGCAAGGAGTTCAAAGATTAAAACTAAATAAAGACAATCTGGTCAGATTTCATATGAAGGAATGAAATGTTGGATGCACTAAAAGGATAAAAGTATCACATATGTATAGAAAGATAGGGTTTCAAATAGTTTTGGCCTTAAATGAAAATGGCTATAGGAGCAAGTAAGAATTCTGTTAAAAAAATGTTAACTTTCAAATAACTTTAGTTTTAATAACTTGGTTTAAAAATTTAAAATTATTAACTGAGAATCAACAACTTGGCAATATATCACTTGTTGGGTTACCTGATAAAGCAGGTAAGGATTACTTCACTTCTTAGTTTGTATCACTGATAATTAAAATGTCTGGCACGTTTTAAAAAATCTACCTCCATTAGTATGCCATTTGGGAAAAATGATCTACCTCCATTAGTATCTGTGTTTCTTCCAGGCTTCTCTTCGGGGGGGGGGGGGGGGCTGAACGAAATGGAATTATATAGAAAACATACTTTTACCAGCGCCCCCCCCCCCCCCCCCGGAGAAAAAATCTGGAAAAAAACACTGATTAGTATGCTGCTTGGGTAAGTAAAATCTTACTTCTATTACTATTTCTGATATTTTGGGAATATTTTACATTGTCGTGGTTGACAAGTTACAAAGGGAGTAGCCAACTTCCAGTTTCATAACTGACAATTCAGAAATATTTCATCACTTTATACCTGACATTTTGATAATACTTTACTTTGTTAAATTCCTGACATTTTGATAATACTTTACTTAGTTAAATTCGCGACATTTTGTGATACTAACTTAGATCTAAAAGGTCAGTAAAGTCTAGTCTCCATTCTTATAGCTGACATTTTAGAATATCTTACACTGCCACACCTGTCAGGTAAAACAAAAACCACGCCCCTTACCTCCATCTGCACGCTGCTAAGCTCAACAAGGTCACCGGACGACTTGCCGGCCTTGAACCCAATGGTCTCCTGGTGCCTGTGCTGGAAGCTGTGGATGGAGCTGCGGCGGTCGTCATCACTGCTGCAGAAGCTGTCGGTGCTGCTGCTGGTGTCGAATGACGTCAGCGTCGGCTCGATGGAGCTGGCGCTGGAACTGCTCAAACTGTCGTCTGAGAAGTAAGGCATTTTCGATCCTAGGACCACGGATCTAGAACACAAGAATAAAATCTTTATTAGCATCGTACTCCATCATTACAAGGTTACGCTTATATAAAAAATATTTTCGATCCTAGGACCACAGTTCTCGAAAAATGCAGGAAAAAAATAAACTTTAATAGCACCGTAGTCTATCATTACACGGTCAGGCTTTGGATTATGTATAAAATATTTTCGAGCTTATGACCACGGATCTGGAAGAATCCAAGAAAAATTCAATTTATTAGTACTGTGCTCAGTCTGTACACGATCAAGTTTTGGGTTACTTATATTTTCAATCGGGGAACCACCAACCTAGAAACATATGACATCGTTTTACTAGCACTGTGCTCCGTCTAAACACGGACAAGTTTTGTTTTACAGAAAACAATATTTTTGATAATTTTTCATATGGAATATCACACGAATATCACCAGATTTAATAGCAACAAGCTTTGTCTATAAACCTTCGATTTTTATGTAACATAAACATACATATTTTCTAAATTCTAGTGTCGTTTCAAATAGTTCGTAATTAATCTAGATTTTAATTGCAGTTCATCCACTTATAAAAAAAATACAGAGGAATTATATTCTTATCCGATTGTATAAAAATTCAAACAAACATTAACTGCACTGAATAATTTATGCGTTGAAATTAAAGACCAAAAAGATATGACACCCCCCCCCCTCCACCCCGGTAACTGTCTTAAATAAACAGCAAACATTATATTTAAAAAGATAATAATCATATTTTAAACGGATTTGATTTACGTTAAGTTGACATTAATGATATATCTTACTGATAGAATTACACAAACCTGATCACAAATCGCATAGTAAAAAAAAATATTTTAAAATCCAAGAGCTAGAAACACCAAGTGTTAAAAGTGCTCACACTAGAGCTTCACGTTTAGAATCCACCTACACGCTCACCTTTAACAAACAGCCAAGTTACCTGTCTGGCTACCTCACACGACTAAAGAACTGAGTGCAGGTTAAACCAGAGGTAGACACGAACAGATCAACCAACTCCAGTCCACCTTAGTTAAATGACTGCACGGGACAACAGGTGCTGCCCCTGTGTTCCTTCTACACCTAGTGGCCTGCTAGACTAACGTGAACCTCGATAACTGACCGTCCACTATCCGCTGTTGTGACGGTCCAACTATTCACGTAATGATAGTCCGCGGGTCCGAGTAAAGAAACCGTCCGTCCATCGACTGATTGAATTAAATTTTCACCGGTGTCGCTAATGCGTGCGGCGTGCGCAGAATCCCAATCAGGCGTCCATTTTGTAGTGAGACGCGGCACTGGTCAGTCGACTAGAATACCAGGCTACCGTCATCGCACTGACCACAATACATAGTTACCGCGATCGCACCGGTCACAAGACATAGTTAACGAACTCGAACTGGCCAATGAATACTTGCCCCCAAGGATCTGATGTGTGAAGATAATTGCTGGGTCGACCAGTGTACGGAGACACAGCTAATTAAGTGCACAATTTCTGAGGTCACCAAAGTTCTCTGAGTAGGATTTTAACCGGGAATTAGGGAAATATGTAATTGGGTGCACAATTTTTTAGGTCACCCAAACTTTTCTTGGAGTAAGACTTTAACCAGTGCATCAAACATGCTGGCTTTGTATTAGCGAAAAATATTCTCTTTTACTACTAAGAATTTGTATCAGGTGACTGATACAAATTAAATATATCTATAGATACACACTGATCATTCAAATATGTTATGTGTTTTGTCTGTACTATCAAAGGTGTAAGATATCTATATCTTCTGATATCTACAATAGACAATTTTAATTTTTAAAATACATTTGTATACGATCATATCTATCATATGCACATTCACATAACAACACATATATTTTTATCAGGCGAGTGATGTGTATCAACTGTTAAGATATGATAGGATTAGGTCTAACAGGATTAGCTCGACCGATAATCCAATTGGTAACATTCCAAGAGCTTATTTTAACGACAACAGCTTAGTTTAATGGTCATAGCTTAGTTCAAAGACAGGGAAACCACTAAAAACTTCAGAAATATTCGACTAATCTTTCGTGGCAAATAACTGCAGCAAACTGCTATTCAATAACTTTTCAGCAACTTTTAAAATACGCACTTTTGAAATAGTAGATTGTTTATAGAATGTACACTGAGACGAAGAAAAACCAAATCACCCCCACCCCCCGTCTAAAGTACATACCACTACTCACTGCACTTAGCTCAACAAATAGATTTTAACTCAGCAACTATACAAAACCTCGTTCGGTTTTTCTGGGTGAATATCACAATACTGGGCCACAATCAGCATGCTATATAAACCTACTACAATACTAAGAATTTTATCTCAATCCGGAAGAACGAAACACAAAGCATTGTAAACCATCTAAGATAATATACCAATTTTAGTCATTAGAAACAGCAAACACTAAGATAAACTTTTATACAGGGAAATTCTGCATCGATCACCTGCCATCGATTAAAGAATTACGTGTCTCTAATCCTGTGGCGTGTTATGGTTTGGTGTGTGATGGATTAGTGAATCAAAGTGAAACCTTGAGAGTGAACTTAAAAGACTGGAGATCAAGCAAGTGGCTAGGTCAAAGGTGTGGGTTCACAACCCATGTAGGTTGGCTGCTAGTTGTGTAGAAACAAGACCTTACGTGGATACCAGCCAGCAATGACCTGCAAGTTATCAGCCCTTGGATATGAAGTTTGAATGGTCATTGGAGAAAGTGATTTGACTGCAAAGTACCAGCTTAGAATTAGGGTCACTGACCTCAGTAGCCACCCAAAGACCTAATTTTGGGACCTGAAATGTCCTCAGACAGAATCCACCCGAAGACATACAGTTTGTACATGAAATGTCGTCAGACAAAAGCCACCAAGATATCTAATTTGGAAGCTGAAAGGACCTCAGACAGTAGTGACCCAAAGAGCGAGTTATGGACCAGACAGTAGTCAACCAAAGACCTAACTAGGGACCTAAAATGACCCCAGACACTAGTCAATGAACCAGTTTGGGACCCGACAGTAGTCCACCCAATATAACGTTGAGGTGTGATCCGACTAAGTGAAATATTTGAACATGATTCGAGCCTGAATGTCGGGAGCATGTAGGGACGCCAGGTAAAAAGTAAATGGATTATCGAACTGACAGGGATTATCCTAACGGATCTCGCATAAACCAAACTGTCAGCCCACTGCAGGATACGCTCGGGGAGTGTCGTGTGTGTGAGCTAATGAAGATGAAGTGGGGATAGTGTGGTGTGATAGGTGGGGTGCTGTGTGGAGGTGATCGGTTTGGTGATGTGTGTGGTGGGTTGGGGGTGTTGTGTGGGTGATCTCTTTGGTGATGTGTGTGGTGGGGGGGGGGTCCTGTGTGGGGTGATCGGTTTGGTGATGTGTGTGGTGGGATGGGGGTGCTGTGTGGGTGATCTCTTTGGTGATGTGTGTGGTGGGGGGGGTCCTGTGTGGGGTGATCGGTTTTGTGATGTGTGTGGTGGGGTGAGGTGCTGTGTGGGGTGATCGGTCTGGTGATGTGTGTATGTGTGGTGGGGTGACTGTAGAGGGGATGTTAAATGGAATGTTGTGTGAAATGCTGGTAGAATTGTGTGATGGGGTGCTGTGGGGAGAGTGTTGTGGGTGGTGTGTTATGTGTGGGAGTGTGAGTGGAATGCAAAAGTTATTGAAGGTGTGAAGTGCTGGTATAATTGTTATGTGGGGTGTTGCGTGTGGTGGGGGGGGGGCGCTGTATGTGTTGTGTCGCTGTGCGTGGGGGTGCTGTGTGTGTGTGGGTGGGGGTGCTGTGTGGAATGCCAAATGAATTGTAATATGAATTGCAGAGTGGGTAGCAAGAGTGAGATATATAAAACAGACACGTGCACTGAATTGTTCAGAGGACAAGCGAACTGCTGGATCATGCAACTCTCCCTTATCCAAATCTATGTCTAAATATATTCCGTGATTTATTAGCCAAGTGTTTATTTTCGTAATGTTTATTTCTGTTTGAAAAGAATGCTGCTTAAAAATGTGAAACAAGTTTTTAGTTTTATCTCTAACATTTATTGTTTGAAGTTTGTTATTCTAAAGCGTTAAGCAGGACGAACGATGTTTTAATAAATGTACCGTGCCTAGGTTTGATATTAAATTAAAGCTGTTTTCTTTTATTCCTAGATTTGTCTAGATCCAGCGATGCTGTTGCAGGTGTGTGTAGTCCATTTAGACAGAATGGTGAGTCCATTTGGGCCGGAAGATACGGTCAAATCGACATAGGAGGGACGGTCTATACGAGCCGGAAGTAGTGAGGGGGGGAAAAAGGGGTGGGGTGTCATTTAAAGTAAAGACGTTTCATGTTAATGTATTTAGACAATTAGGTCAAATTATTTTTTGTTAATTAGCGAAAAACAAATTAGTTTTTTTTTTAAAAAGCGGAATTCGTGAAAGCAAAACATGAGAAACTGCTAATAAAATTCGAAGGATTTATTAGAGAGCCAAATGTATCTGTCAGACTGGGTGCTCAGATTTTTTGTGTTACTTTACACGTGAGCTCGCGTGAGTCGTTACACCAGGCGCCGCCTCCTGTAAAGACAGGCTATTTTAATCTACATCTACCTCGCATTCCCCAAAAACCTGTGAAGTGCCATCAATCCATCATCGCGTGGCTGCGCTTACCTGGTCTACATTCTACCTTCAGAAATACAGGTAAAACTACCTGATTACCCACATGGACAGTGAAGTAGAGTTTATGTATATGTGGTTTTGTATTGTACGGTCAGCTACCTATCAAGTCGTCTTTACTGACGCTCCTAAACAAAATTAGAGGCTTTTTAGATTGACGGCTAATTTTCATTTTATACCTTAAAATTAAGTAAGTGCAATGCCTTTTCTTCTTCTTCTTTCTTAATAGTTAATTGAAGGGGATTACGTCCAACACAATTAAGTATTACGTGTCAACATGTTCAGCACTATATTGCCTGCTGACTCCGATT